ATATATGTATAAGTTTCCTAACTGCTTGATTTTTCAAGAAATTGTTACAATATCACGAAATATTCTTTACTAAGAAGCTTTAGGTGGGCGCAGGTCTTGATTAGTGTTCATAGAAATCCCATTAAATTTTTTGATAATACTAAGTGTAAAGTCAGTTGAAGGCTTCTACGTAAGAAAACTTTTTCCATTCTGTTTGACGGGACTTTTCCTATTCTTAACCTCTCAAACAAAAAGTGTTTACGTTGCTTTATTCTATATAAGAATATATTCCTTACCCGAGGCTGATCTTAAAACCTACGCCTCGAAATATCGATTCATAGCGTGACACTTTTTTTTTACACGATGCATAAATAATAAGATGACTTTATTGCACTAAATACTGAAACGCAATTGGTTAATCGATCTCCATGTATGACATCGGTAATTAATATCTTTATCCAGATCATGCTCCTAATTTTCTCAAGTTAACGAATTTCGAAAAATCCTATCAGAAACACATTCTCGATACATCCTCTCTAAAAAGAACAGTCAAAATTTCATTGATTTTTTAAGTTAATTGAAAACTCACTGAAAAAATAGGTCTAATCAGGGCGCTCTGACCCCCTACCCCCTCCCCAACACAGGGGATGGTGTATGACGGTCCACGAAGGTCCTATAAATGTCCGTTTATTCTGTGCTATGCTTGGCTTTTGTCACTGACTTCTCCAATACCTTGATCCCTTGACGGCTTGAATCGCGAAGAGTGGAATATCTTTGTTGAACCTTTGGGCTGAAATATGGATTTGTACAGGTATCCTGAGCCACGGCGGTACGTCATTTTATGTCAAAAAGGAAGCAGAATACATAAAACAAATTCTATAAGATATAAGGGATGAGTGATGGTTGAAATGAAACGTGGAGAAAATTTTAAGGATTGTTCATAAGCAATATTTCATACGGATTTCAGGACTACTGTATGACACATTGTATATCACATATCATATAGTCTCAAACGTGATAATAGGTATTGTAGACATTTTGGGATTTTTGAGGAATCGGAGTTGCAAGCCTTTTTAGGAGGTTTGTACACCCCGCAGACGTCTTTATAGGAAATTAGATTTTTAAAATAAAAATGATCTTCATTTATTGTCCTAGTCATTAATTAAATATTAAAGACACTTATTTTTATATTACTTTCTCTCTCTTTCATACATACACATACTCTTATGAATTTGTACAGTGTTTGTGTCAATTCGTAGACGCCATGGAGTGTTTGTCTCTATCCTTTCTCTATGCTGATTCCCCGGAGAGGGAAAGAGATAGCTAGAATAACAATACAGCGGACTGCACGATGCGTCCGGTAATTGTAAACCAGCTAAGAGTAAACACGATAATGGCTCAGAACCACAGGTGATCGAGCCGATCACCGGTCGCTAAATGTATCATCGTTGGAAGAGGTTTTGACTCAGACAGCTACTAATCACAATGACGTTGGAAGATGAGTCTTGTCACGTGGGTCCTTGGACATGAAGTGGCTCTGCACTCCTGACAGTTCTATTACAATAAATTGACTGCAGATTGAAACAGATGTTTTAAGGAGGTCCTTTCCGTTACTAAGAGATATCAGAATGAGGTTTGGAGCTGAGCTCTTCGGGTGTTTGATGATTTGGTGCTTAGGTCAATTTCAGACAGCACCGGCACATTGACTTTACGGCAGACAACTTACGAAGGATACCTGATTTACTGATACTTAGATGAGAACATTATGCTCCCTGAGACTAGGAAATGCTAAGGATGAGCCCCCACAATTTGCAGTACAATACTGTTCACTGGTTTTTTGTGAAAAGCAGGATAGATTTCCTAATTTATTTTTAGAATTTTTTTATTTTCGAGACTTCACTGCTACTTGTCGCCTTTTGGTGTATACTTGTATGAAGGATTTGGATCGAACGAATCGAATGGTTTGTTACCGAGTAATCCGCTGCTTATATTCTCAGGAGCAATACGTTGCTTTTGGTAGGAATAAGGATTTTTGTCATTTCGATGTTTTTGAAATTTGATTTAATATTTTAATTTTAATAAATTGGATCAGTGGTTACTTCAAGAACCGGCTTTTGGGTATTTCTATTGTGTTTAACGCGTGTCGGTTAATAACGCTTGAGAACTTGTTTGTTTCCATTCCAGTCGCTATGACTAATTTTAAGGGAATTATACAGTACCAAAGATTTAAGAGTCCTATTTCCCTTCCTTTTATCGGCGTCGCAGTGAAAGGTCGATAGGAGTTTTGAGAAATTGTAGGATTTGAGCAGCTCTCAGATACAATTATGCGCCTTCAGGGTACGCTATGCATTTTTATGTGAGGCTTTTAAAGTATCCATCATAGAGAATGAATAAGGGTAAAAAAATGCTAAAAGATGGATGGGTATAAGGACGGAACGTTATAATATAGAACGACAATTTGTTTTTATTATACGCGAAAGTTTGTTTTTATTATACAAGTATATTTCATGTATTATATTATACGGTATACCCTGCGAAGTATCTCAATGATTTCGATATCCTGATTACGGTACATAAATTAATTCAGCACAACGAAATTTTCTTTCTTACAATATATCGATTCCACTGGAACTATAATATACTCCATAATCAATGACGGAAAATCCATGGCATTTGAAAAGGGAAATCAATGGGGATGTTCATGTAATCCTACTGTGTCTAAACCCTTCAGGGGATGAACAGGATTACCACGAGGACTACTGATACTTCATTGTCAAAGCGAAGATTCTACTACGTCTCTGGTCTCCCTAATATTTGCACATAAATATTTGCGAACACTCAAGGCATCGTTTTAATCTGTCTGTTTAAAGATGCCATTCCTAGTTCTGAAAAATTCTCAAATAACGAATAATAGCCAGAATCCTTAATATTCATGTATGCAAATAAATTAAAGCGACAAGTGCTACTTGGAGAAAGAGAATTGAGGACGAGAAGTAAGATAAAGGAAGAACAAGAAAAGATAGATTAAACTACGCGTAACAAGGGAAACGAGCCTCTCATTTCTTATTTAAAAGAGTCATCAAGAAATTTGCAAACTAACCTTAAACTTGATCCTAGATAGCTATCGATTGCGCCATCTTTATTAAAAATGTTTTATCACCCCCGTACACCTACCCTTACCTATAACCTGTACCTTCGTCATACTCACAAAATGGATTTTCAGTCTAGGTCTTTGTTGGAACGTCACCCCCTGTTTTCCAGACGGTACCTTCCGTTGTAGGAATAAATTAATTTCCATTTGATTCTTCGGGAAATAAAAAAGATAGAAAAACAAGAGACTCAATCATAATAAATGTTGAAATCTGAAGAGAAAAAGAGAAGGTGGATCCTGGAAAAAGAGGAGCAAGATCCCTTGGCAAAATTTCAAGCTACTACTAACCGGTATTATGAGAGCTGGTAGAAACATGTAGAACCGTGGAAGAAATTTAATGAAACATGAGAGGGTGGGAGGGGGGGGAGTGAGAGAGAGAGAGAGAGAGAGAGAGAAGGGCGTGGACGCAGCCTCTTATTTTCCAACGACCTGAACCTTTGACTAGCGACACGTGAGATTCACTGAACCTTTAATAAGTTCTACCCCCCGCTATATACGGACTCACCGCAACCCTATTTACTTACTATACAACCTACAAGCTGCGTCCTGTTATTGTTGTACATGTACAAAAACAACAACCATACCAGTATGATCACCTAGGGAACTTGGTTATTGCACGCTGTCACATAAACCTACCCTTATGCGTAGAGTGTATAAAGAATATGAAGGTTCACATATGTATTACATATATACCTATATATATGTAAATAAAACATAGCTTCCATACGCGCAAGTACATAGACCGTATAAAGGGCGTAGATATTAATAATTAATTAATTATGAATAATATTCAATCGAAGAAAAAGATTTTGTAGAACCTTATAACGATATACTGTGAGACATTTTAATATATTAATATACCTACGTACGTGATTGTCAGTTTGATACGTTAGTACAGTTTAGTACGTTATGAAGCTTCCAGGTATTTTATTGTCAGGTTATTTATTGAATATCTGCTATTGGTATAAATGTGACAGATGCGTAATAATTCAGAACGCGTAACGAAGCAGATCTAACGTATATTGTCGTTGACATAAGTACTGTCTTCGTTAATAGTAAATGGTACATCAGTTTTAGTCGATAAGATGTATTAATATCCGCAGCTATCTTCTCTACGTGCGTACGAACACGGGTATCGTTTCTAAGCACGTGTTTCAGCGTAAGGTTGCTGTCATTTGCCAGAAAATTGTTCAGAATCGTCATTTGCCAGAAACGGCAGCTGTCTGAATACTATATGTATTCTTGTTGCTTGTGGTAGCTGTCGGTATAGCAGAAACCTACGTCTAGGTGTCCGACTATACCGACTGTCTCGTTGCCAATGGCAACGACCATATAACAACCCTCAGTGTATGTGCACCTGAAAAGTTCAGCTGAAAACGCGTAACGGAAAACTTTTCAAATTGGTGGCGCTGATAGAATGCACGTTATGTAGCAATGCATGCTTAGATATTGGATCTATGTGCGTACCGTGCGTACCTAACAGCCAACTTGCTTTGCCCCTTTGTGTATCTAGGTTATTAGATTTACAAGTAAACAGTGTATAGACGTTGTTGCATCTAATATTATGTACCGCGAGTACTAGCAAGGTATCTAATGGCAATTTGTGTAGAGGAGGTTATAACGTTAACAGGCACACTGAGTGGCCTTATTGCCCTTCCAGTTATCAGCGGTGGATCAACTAATTTATAATTAGAATCGATAATGCTAATAAGGTTCGACAAGGAGATAAATAATTTGTTAGAAAAAAAATACTGACTTATACACAGAGAGAGAGACTTATACACAGACTTATACAAAGAGAATATAGGGCATGAAAACAATATAGAAATTTACCAATAATATTACTTAGAAGAAACATTTTTTGTCGCAGTATCGATCCAATGAATACCTGCTGAAGGAATCTTTCAAACTTTGATGTTAACGGTGACGATGCTGCAGCTGATAGAAGGGGCGGTTTCGTACCGCGATGACCCAGAACGTAAACCAAGCGCCACTTGAACGAGCGTGGGAGAAAGGTTCGGTTTTGATCCATAAACTTTTCTTTATTATTTAAATAAAAATTTTTCAGTTTATTTATTCAAACTTTTAATACTTAAAAAAAACTGAAAATAAATTTTTTCTGCAATATGTATTATTTTTTAAATTTTGTACTGAAAATGTATATTTTTTTTATTTATACTGTTAAACTTATATAACTTATATACTTATATAATAGTTAGTTCCTTGCGTTGGCGCATAGAGGATATGTTGGCTGTATTCTCATTGCGGATAAACGAGGTTAGGCGGTAAATTTAATTTAAATTATTATAAAATGAATTTAAAACTTAAGAGGCGTCAGGACTTCTCATTATCATGCGAGTAAAATGTAACCGAAAATTGTAAATACAGTAGAACATCGATTATCCGAACTAATCGAACCGACTACCATTCGGATAATCGAAAATTCGGATGACCGGAGTTTGTTGGGAAAAAGGCAAGATCGAAACGCTGAAAAGAATAGAATATGTATACACATATTCAACGACACCCGATATCTTTAATATATTAATATTTATATACGTATATCATATTTTTCGTCAATAGAATCTATGTATTTCTTTGGAAAGAAATCGAGGATTTTATTCTGCTTCATAACAGAAGCTCGTTTTTGCGCTGCCAAATAACGCAATCTTTTGAGGAGAAGCAGTCGCGTTGGACAACATTCCGGCTGCTTTTCGTATCACTCCATCGCTGTCTCGAAAGCCTCAAACGCCTCACTGTGAGAAGGCTTGCTCGCTAAGACGCGCAACAATGTATGTAACGACAAAGTCGTTCGGAAAACCGAATCTGTATTCGGATCATTGACGTTCTACTGTACCAGGTTTTTGAGTCTTTTTTAAAGCGGAATTCAGCGCACATGGTATGGTTATCGCATGGTAAAGAAAAGGTTCGGAGTCCCAAACAAGGAATCTGTTCAAAAGGTGATAAAAAATAATTGTTGATAAACAAATATAATTTGTTAAACAAGTTTAATTATAAAATAAATACATATATATCGCTGAATTTTTTTTTGTAACTTCATAAAATATTCCAAATTTTTTATTACAAATTTTCAGGAGGTCGTTGTGCATTACTAGCCTATGAAATTTTTAGCGATACCATTGACTCCTCCCTACCTAACATTTAATAAATACATCGTTAAATATATCATATTATTTAGTCCAACTGTACCACCTGAAGTGAGCGCGTACATTTCATTCTTCTGGTAAAACCATATTCAGGTAGTCCGTCTGGACTGAATAACCAAGTATACATAAATACATCAAAGAGTATCCAGCTAATATCAACCAGTCAGATAACTCTTGTTTCGAATCTGCAATCTTATTTTATAAGCAACTAAGCCTTGGGTTTTCACTAAATAATTCAATGATATAACGATGTAAAGATATATGCAACAATAATAATTCATTAACTCTTTATTTAATTAAGGACAAATGAGTAGGGCGCGGGATGGGCACGTCCTGGCTCGCGGCCCTACTTCCAGCGATAATGATGGCCTGCGCTTCGAGGACAAAAGCTAGTCCTACCTCGATGCCATCTTCAGTCTCGACCAGCGTGGCAGAACTGAAACGGGTAAAGGAAATTAGATTAACCATGAAATTACTATGTTTTGTTCCACCTCGAGAATTCCTATCGCACACGTTAGAGCATAGCTGTCAGAATTACTATTATTTGATCCTTGACTTTCTTTGTCTCTATATCCCTTTTATCATTTTCCTGAACCGCCTTTGGCTATAAGGTGGAACTGGAAGAAGCTTTGGACGTGATAGAAGCTGCATCGACCGGTACTTTGGAAGAAGATTGCACGACCACGTCAGGTTATAAGTCCCTACCGACGACAGCGGCTCTAGACCCACGCCGCTATGATACTTCTCGTCAAAAGGCGGATATGGCCGCCATGATGCTTCAAAATCTTGGGGTTACGCGACACAATAGTGAGTTATTATATATCCTATATATCTACACATATACGCATATATATATAAGTATAGTCGAGTGTCTTTTATATATAATATATCGATCCTACAAGCTAGAGTACCACCCATATAGTATATATTACTTTGTGTATATAAAGGAAGAATCACGTGGCTAGGTATGAACTCCAAGAACTGTTATGATTATGATTAATGGTTCTTGGGAATTGCGTACAAGGAGATAAAATATTCTTGAAAACTTGGTGACGCTGTTTCTTTTTTTTCAACAGCTCTTTTAGACGCCGTTGCTCGGTCGTTACTTGGTTCGGTAAGTGACGCCGTTCAGACTCGTGTTATCGCCCTGAACGCATCAACCGGGATTGTTGTCAGCGCCACGTGGTTGAAGAGGAGTCCTGGAAGCGTAGGAGAACCTTCTAAGGTTGAGAATCACGAACTACAGTCAGGATCACGACCTGATCCTAATTTACCTTGGTTCGAGGATGCCGGAGACAGTACGGGATTAAGGTTTGACTTGTTATACGCACATCCCATGAAATCCTCCCTTAGTCTCGGTATACATTGAGCAAACGAGTCTGAGAAATTCTGAAGAATATATATATTGTGACGTAAGTTTTAAGACACAATTCCCCAAATACTATCCGTAGCGTTACAGTCCGATTGTGCCACAAATATATAACGATACTCTAAGATTTTTCCGTGAAACAAAAGCAAAATAATTCGCGATGATACAAATGCCGAATGGAGGTCAGACGCACCGTTGCGTCACGAGACAAACAAAAGTCCTGAAAAAATGAAGAGGACTCCGACTAGTAAGAAGGAAGCGGAAAGTTACGGCAGAGGGACGGGTAACGTGAAGATGGTAAGAAGAAAGTAGATTGAGAAATTACGAGAAAATCAGTAGGAGTAAATATTGGCCCTTTTATTTGGGACTTATAAAATCCGAATTAATCAAACAAAATGGTAAGGGGCTAGAAAATAAATACAAATGTGGATTCACGCGAGACTAGGCTCTGCACGGGACACGTGAACAAAATAGAATACGAAAATTATTACACGCTATACAAGGTCCTTGCGGACACGTGAAACCATTGAGATATAAATTAATAGGCGATATACGTTATTTCTGTAACCTATGGAGTTCGAATATTGAAAGGAAGATAAACTACTCGGAAATTTAAAGCAACGTCTTACGAAAGACGAAACGACTCGTAAGGTTCGCGTACCGTTAGCTCTACAGGCGGAAATCGAGTAGCGTATAGAAAGAGTAGGTTAGAGAGTATTACAACTTAGAAACTATTAGAATTCAATTAACACTATAATAGAGACTAAAGAAACAGAATAGACTAGACAAAGTATACTAAAGGTACGTAACAATAGCGAAACAGAATGCATAAGACAAAGTGTGTTAGAAAGAGAAATATAAGATCTTAAGGTATTCTACGAACGTTCTATTTCTCAGACGTGCGAGAAGGTGTAGTTCATGGGTCCTTACGGTAACTCTCCAGGGTCACCGAGAATGTTTGAAGTTAACTAATGAAAATAAGAAATACTATAAGAATTCACGCTAGGGCACGAAATCTTTTCCTCAAACAACACTGGGATGCTAAGCACGAAAAAATATCTATCTATCTTTACTCTACCTTCAAACTACTAAAAGAGTTCGTCTCTTCGCCGTCGAGACGCTTACCGTTAACGATGCAGATACGATTTTGACACTCTTTTCTTTTACTCGGGAACGCACCGGCCAAGATGGATGTCAACGCGAATATGTCACTCGATGGGTTCTTCTTACCGGTCGGAGCTAGCTCCCTCTCGGTAGGTCTAGTAGAGTCCACTGGGCCAATCGCCTACGTGGAAGTGTCCTGCCAATCAGGGTTTACGCGCGAAGTATTTGAAAAATGCCAATGGGCTAATTCGTTATTTTTTTCAAGAATACGAAACTATTTGACTACTAACCAGCGCTGGATGCTCTTTACGAGAGCAGATATTAACCGGAGCCTCCATATGATTGTTTAGCTGCGATACTTGGAAGAAATTTATGTTCCATTAGAAGTTACGTACGATACGTTAGCCTACGCCGCCTTTTCGCGAGATTCAGAACGTAGTGGCGATCGACCAGAAGTGCTGCCGCGTCTTCTCAAAGTCCAGGTTGTGCCGGGTGGATACCGTCGTCCTGTCCTGTGTAGACGGAACGTTGGAGTGGCGGATGGTCGTGACTCATCGGTCTAGGATGGCTCCTTGAACTTCCTCTTCAGTACGGATGTCGTTAACTGGTCATCGGCACCTGGACTGACGTTACTATAGCTCGCCCATGGCGATTTTCTCGTCGGGTCAGCTTCCTACTCTATTCGGAGTCCCCCGTGGCGGGATGGAGCTGTCTGAGGGTGGTGACGTTCTTCTACGCTTCCTGACGTAGCCGTAGGCAGCTTCCTTCTGGCGAGACTGGAGAAGGTGTTGTTCTTGTGCTGGTTGAGGGTCTTCCTCGGCGTTGATTCGGTGTATCAAATGAAATTATTGTACAAATAGAAATTAGCCCAACTTTGTTAAATTTATAATAGGGTTTCCGGAGTTATTGGCCGGTACAGTCGGATTCTATCCGAGGGACGGTGTCCCGTGATCAAAGGCACGCGAGTACCAAATCGGGACTTTTGTGGCATCTAAAATGAACGTTACAATATATATATGTATATGATCTGATTCTTATTCAGGAAATTTCGAAAATAATCAGAAAATGAGGAACACGTGGATTCACAATGACACGCGAGGAATTTATGGATGATTCTGGTTTTGCTCTTCGCCGAAATGGAAATTTGTTATACATTGATTTTCGTGACCGATGGATGGAAAATCTGGAGAGAAGCGTTTATTTAGTCCTGAAAGAGATGCTGAACTACCGAATCTAGTGTCTTATGAATTAATTCCCTCTGGAACGTTCTCCATTACTTTCAGAGGCACAAAACCTAAAAGCCTTCAATGAATTGATGAGAAAGTTTAAATAAGTCTTTACTTGGTAAAACCTCTTTTTCTTCAAAATACCAATGAAAACCAAACACATTTGAATTTCTGCATAGGGAGCTGTACAAAGTGACCCTGATCCATCTGTTGTCTTCTGTTATCGCAAGGGTGCGAAAGGACGGATCTTTTCTTTGTGCAGTTAGCCTGCCATCAACTATCATGCCTGATACCCAAATCCTTGACTTTTGACACTTTTCATTCTTTTTACGTCGCTCAAGTTATCGACGTCACGCAATGATAGACGCTGAAAACTCACTTGGAATTATGGGCTGTCTTTTCCTTTTGTAGGCTTTTCGCCAAATAGGTTTATTTAATGTCGAATGGGGACGGCATTGAATTTAGGGGACACCTTTGAAACGCTTCTCTTTATGTTTTTTATCCTTGGTGATACGATACCAATATTTTTTCTGACGATCCACGTAGACCACGCAAATCATTTCAGACTGAATATAATGTTCTACATTGTATATATTCTTTGATAACGTGATACCAGTAAATATATATTTACCCTATGATTCCTGTACTATGTGCGCACTATATATTTTATCTATACGACGTAATATAATAAATAAGGAAAACATTAACGGGATCCTCGTAAGAATAATCGATCCAAGCAGATACGGGCTCTACGTGACTTGTAATTGGCACGTGACTAAACCGAGTGTGTTGATTTAAAAATTTACGATAGACTCAATTTTGATATTACTGATGAAAATTTATAGGGCTTATGAAATTTTTTATTGGGTGATTCCGAGTAGTTTCAAATTTTTATCTCTTAGTTTAAATTTTATGGCTATCTGTAATATTTTTTATTTAAGGTAGACAAGGGTCGTACTTTTGGACTGATGTATCACTCTAAGCCTGAAATAAGGATGGTTAGGTATAGGCAGACAAGGTCCCGTGATCTTATACAGAGTTATTCGGTACAAAGGCATCGGCTGAAGTTGGTTCTACTATAAAAATCAAACGATATAGTTAACTTCGTGCGATGCGCTTGGCTTGAATATACTTGTATATTAGAAATTTATAACAATTACGATTTCGAGGATCCTGGAGTTTTCAAATCCGCAGAAAATTTATTCGCGATCAATATTTTTATGATAAAAGAACTTTTCAGCGGATTTATTTTTTTTAATGCACTGGCACTGCCTTTAATGAACTATTCACGCACGCACGCATTTTTCCCATAACCATCTATACGGCCGATTGTCATTTTGAATTCCTGCACAAGAAGCAAAGAGCACGCGCACACGCACTGCGATTTCATGCACTTCAACAAAAGCACCACACTCGTTCGCAGATCCTTCGGATTCTCAAAGAAAAAAAATAAGACCAAAAACCCACTGCGACTGCCTCTCGAGATGCGTTTTTTTTTAATTGCCATCAAATATTTAGAGAAAAAATAGAAGGTGATCACCGATTTTTCATTTTGCGTCGTGATCCATTTTTTTTACCGCGTGTCGAGAAGTGTCATTGTGATGTGAATAGGTCGAGAATAGATATCAATCATATGTATAATTTTTTCGTTTGTACTTCACGATCATTCATCGTCATCTCACCTCCTATATATACGAACGTCAAGTCATAGAAACTGTAAGAAGCGTCTAAGAGAGACAGAAATACAGAGAGAAAAAGAGATCTTTGAACGAGTCAAAAATTTTGAAAAAATATATTTACGTTATAAGCGTTTAAAACGCACGCGATGATTTTAACTGATTAACGCGTGAATTGCAAAATCCGCACTCAAGACGCGAATCGAGTGGAAGGTGGAAGTTTCTATGGCGGTCGTGGCGTTTGCGTGTGATCCCAGGTCGCCGAAATTCATGCAGTCACCGCCGATTGAATCCTACAGGGGTTGGTGGACCCTCCCGTATTTCTCCTGCAAGAGTCAAAGATGGCTGATCTCCTACAGCATCAACGTGAGGCCACCGGACATGCGTCATGGGTGAGTCAAATATAGTCTACCTATATCAATATAATGTATAAATATGAAATATTTCACGCAGTTATTTAATATCTTATATTACTATTCGTTTTTGGAAATATATACAGTCTCATTCAGTTGCATTGCACCAGTTACCCTGTTTATTTTTAATTCATACGATAAAATCAAGTTCAGTTAATAAGCTCGTATGGCTGAATAACCGTGTTTACTACTAACGTAAGTAATGTTATCATTATCATCATTACTTATACATTCTCCTCTAAATACCTTTTTATGGGCTTACTTTACCGCGAGTAAGTCCTAACTTCTTATTTATTCAGTATACCCCTAATGGATTATATCTTCAAAATCGTTTTTTTTTAATTTTACATTCCAATTTTCTTCAAAAAGAAACATTTATATACTTGAGTTTATTCGTGGAGAAATTTGCTCTTATTATGTCAATGTCACGTCCCGCTAAAGAATACGGTGAAAATCTTTTTTTCCTTACTAGAACATTTAACTCCAGGAAATATTGGAATTGCAAATTAGTCAGCGTTTTCAGTACACGTTAAATGGGAATAACATTGGCTGTACTCAGCGTATTCACCCCTCTGGAACAGTGTTAGATAACATCCGAAAACTTTAGCCTGCATGAATTCCTGAACTTCTGATAATAGGAACATTTACGGTAACCATGTGAAGTGAACCATTTGGGGCAAAAGTACTATGAATAAATAGATCGTCGAAATTGTTTTTTTTTACGAAAAAGAATCATTTCGACAGAGGGATTAACAGTACCCAAACGCAAATTTAGGTACTTATTTAGGACATCTTGAAATATTTTTAAGATTTTTGGGTAGGTCGGTTTATACATGTATAAAGCAATATAAAAAATTAAAATTGTCGAAATAACGGATCTTTTCGTTTGTCTCAAAGATAATACCTAATTCGTAAAAAATATTTGTGATGAACCAATATACATGATATTCACAGAAATAGAAATACTATTATGATGCTTTGAAGTCATAAAGCCAGCTGTTTCAATTAGTGAAAAATATGTGTTTTTTTCTTCGTATATATCAGCATACAATTATATTGATTATTTATAAAGTTTTACGTAATAAAACTATCGAGGCGAAAGTTACAACTTCGAGAGTGTGAACCATGTAAACTTACGTGGAACAGCAGCGCGGCAACGTCGTAAACTTCATCGTCGATCCGCCGAGTACTGTTCATACATAACCTCAGTGGCTAATATATGAGTAAGCAGTTTTGACGCAACTTTTTTATTTATTCAATTTCGCAGGTGTTCGTCCGAATCTTATTTCATTTGCCTTCTCAAATATATAAATATTCGTCTTGTACCCCTTGCTCTATTCAACGAGCAGAAAATGGTACACGGAGAACGGATTGGGACATGCGCCATATACATATGTATATATTAAATGACTTGTGAAACGTTGCCAAGCTGTAGTCGCGTACGGCCGAGCACCCTCACTTTATCTAATTGGCCATGAAAAATTGTTTTTCCATCACATTGATTCTTTCAATAATCCAGTTTTGTGGTATTACAATTTCAACAAGGTAAGCATTATAACCTTGTTTATCGGTTTGGGGCTTATACTTGCCATGTAAAATTGGCAAAATTTACGAGTGTATATATTCGAAATCAAACACTTAAAAAATCTTAAACTTTGTATGATATGCTGTAGGAATCTGAATCTACATGCATATTTACTGACCGATCTAGATTTCATATAAATGCAAAAACTGACTTAACAGAGTTACCTTCTTTAGCCCGACAGCATAGTCAGGGTCTTCGTAACTTTTCTAGACTAAAGTGAAAAAAAAGATATATTTTTTTTGTGATTATTTAGAGTTCTTTTATTTTTATATTATCCTTATCATGTATTTTAGGATACGAGAATTTTTGAGCATGGACGTGGACATCAGTGGATTGGAAGTGAACCAATGCGATTCAGGACTATCTAGTGAAAGCTCATCTGTAGATAATCAGATTGCATCTTTCAAGGGGACTCATAAGTGTCACAATGATACGATGCAGGTAAAATTTATCTATGGTGTTTATTTTGTAGTGACATAATTAATTTTTTTGAGGATGTTTATAATGGGATTCAAATACATAATTTCTAATTTCTATACATAATGCTAATTTCATTGATTTTTTAGTTCATTATATTTTTTTAATTACGTGCAGTTACGTGCTAAACCTATTTTAATGACTGTCGGGACGATTGTGTAAAAAGTGAATGCCACTAGAATATTAATTGTCGCATACGTCATCTTACGTGTATTTGTATATTTGTAAGGTCTTTAATATAAATAGCTATTATGAGGGCGGTTTATCATTTTCTAGCAATAATAATTTATTAGTCATTATTTTGGTTACGGAATGAATTTCATTCCTTTCAAATGAAATATGTATACAAAATCGACTTATGTATTAGAAAATTAATATAGACTGACTAGTAATTTGTGTCCATTAAATAATTCGTTGAAGAATCAATCAAAATCATATTACATCATATTGACAGTAATTGTGTTATCAAACCGATCAAATTTCGGAAAAAGATTCATCAAAATTTTAACGGAGATAACAATGTATGGGCAATGGTCAAATTTAACATTGTTGACACGAGACTTTCAGCTGTCCACTCGAAAAGACTGATTGATCATTGACTATGAGAGAAAATAATAATACAAAAAATAAGTATACAGTAATAAAATAGCCGAAAAGACATAATAAAAGTAAAAGAAAAATTTCACCTAATTTTCCTTCTCATTTTTCTATACTTAAATTCAATATCCAATTTCACGTTTATTCTAGTTACATTCGGTTCGATTGATCCTTCATTGATTTAATCTTAGAACACTCTGAATTCTATGAGATAGAGGAAACGAACCGTGGAATACACATTCCCTTCCTACGTTGAACCCTAATGAAACCAATTATTGCGAGTGGATCGAGCCGAAGTTTCAATTTGCCTTGAATCAAATCGAAAAATAATTCCAGTGCGAATATCAACCGAGGAGCAGTAGGACGAATGAAAATGGAGTCGGTGCTGGGTGGGCTAAGGGTGCCTACGTATGTAAATGTCGACAAGGTTTCTACACAGTCACCCATCAGTCAACTGGATTCGACGGGACCTTAGTGGAGGGTAAAAATAATCTATGACCTCAATTGACCTTATTGAGGGACGGCTACCCTTATAAAAATGTTGAATAATAATTGCAGCCGCATGGAAAGAAATGCAAGTAAATAAAAGTGATCTTTATCAACGTGTTTTCCGTTGTCTACGATGCGCACCAGGATGCGCACGGTGCAAAGGCCCAGAACCATGCTTGGCGACTTACAATTGGCCGTTCAGGTAAGTCCCAAGGATGAATTGAAATTTTACTTCTTTATCGTTCTAATAATTTATATCTTTTATCATAATTTTTAGGATTGCCTTACTAGCCTTTTCCGTATTCTGCGCCTTCAGTACTGTTGTCCTGGTAGCCTATATGTATCAGCATCGGAAGTTGAAGGTTTTCAAGGTAGCATCACCTATATTCCTGTCAATCACGTTACTAGGCTGTGCTATAATGTATCTTGAAGTAAGTGACACGTATTTTGTATTTTACAATACGTAGTACTGAGGCGCCTGTCACGTAATGGATATTACTGATTTATAGATGGCTGCGATATTTCCGGTTCTCGACATGTATTCCTGCATCGCTACAAAATGGACCAGGCATCTGGGATTCTGTATCTCTTACACGGCACTGCTAATGAAAACTTGGCGGTAAGGACTTCTTGCTGTACTAATTTATTATGAGCCAATTAGTGAAGTCTTTAGCTGCATGTAATCCTACCTTTTGAATTTAATTAATTACGTAATTGAGATTTCGAAAACGGGAGATATAATGACCAGAGGAGTCTGCTGGTGGATGTTCAAAGATGTAAATATACAAGTAAACTTCTACTTATGATTTTTTGGAAAACGAACTATTCGTATTAACGTAAATTACACGTACTAATAAGTTTGACTCTTCGTTCATTTAATTGACAGAAAATTCAGTAATTATGAATATTCAGCGGTTTATGAAGTTCATCGATAATTTATGATGCACGACGAAAAATATTTAATCCAGTGATTTCTTTTTGCATTCTTACTACCTTTGCATGAACTCAATTTATTTCATTATGAAATAAATTAATTGAACTTCCGAACATTCAACTTAAAGTACACATTTCAAGGAACACATGTTGCGGTGGAAAATTCGGGTTCGCCTGTAGTTTGGAGATTTGCTCTTCAGTTATGTTACCGCTGTTAATTAATTATCGTTTAACCTTTTGACAGGGATATTAATTTTGGTAGAGTTGTTCAGATGAATATTAATATCCTTTCTACGAACTCGTGATAATAATAAGGGTACCTATGTGTACCTGTTTATTATGATAGTATTATATAGTGATACAATATGTTTTTTACAAATGACCCGTCAGAATGCGATAACTATATTATACTTATGATACATTATGATACATTATACTATATTATATACATAACTCAGCAACTATGCATTTTGCTATAATCATTGATGGTGCGATAGAAAGGGGGTTTATTGAGGTACATTTGGTAATTTTTTCAACAAATTTTGTTATTATTACACAATATTTATTGTACCGTAGTGAGGAACTCTTTCAAGTACAATGTCATAAATTTTCATGAAAATCCTTCGAGTTGATTTCGAGATACCAGGGACACCGATTTTGAATACCATGTTTTGAGATAAACGCGTTCAAAGTTTTACAAGCCGTTTTGTTACTTACATCTTGTTACTGTCGAATCTACTGCCTTGAATTTGAATATACTGTACAGCACACTTATGCCTACAGCTCTATACTTGCTGAATTCCAGCGACCGACCGACGAAATTTCACTGTACATATACCTGAAACGCATGCAGCTGCTCCGCACGGTGCCGCTCCTCCCTCAATCCTTTATAAAATTTACAATTCTTCGAATTTTGCAATAAATAATGCAACACTATAGTTTCAAATTTATAGACTTTAAGAAAATGAATAAAATTTGTTTTCAAATACTACTCTGGCGTAAGCCCTTAAGAAGAATATATAATTGGACGTTTTCATAGTTTTTATTATTTCTTTGTCTTCTAGGGTGTCGCTAACTTATCGCGTTAAAAGTGCTCACAAGGTCAAACTCACTGATAAGCAATTGTTGCAATGGATGTTTCCCATTCTGCTGGTGATGCTTATCTACTTAGGGACGTGGACGCTGAGTTCACCGCCATTTGCAGAAGTCATTGCTGATAGTCATGATTTGAAGTTTTATCAATGCTCATATAATTGGTGGGATCATAGCCTTGCTATAGGTAAATCTAATTGTGTTATTCGACTAAGTAATTAATATTTGTGGTATATATTCCAGTAAGAATTAAGTAATTTTTATTCAATTTTATAGCTTTAAGATATAATTATCACATAATTTTCTTTTTACAGGTGAAATTCTCTTTCTTGCCTGGGGTATAAAGGTCTGCTATAACGTGCGAAATGCTGAAAGTCTTTTCAACGAGGCACGTCTTATCAGCTACGCAATTTATAACATCGCTTTGGTCAACACGACAATGATAGCAATTCAGTACGTGATCAATTAAATGACTTTATTAATTTTATTAATACTCTGCTGACTTTAATCATATTTAATAATGAATTAGTCAATTATAAAAGACTGACGTAATACATTTCCGTAGTCTCTTCATATTTCCCAACGCCGGTCCGGATATTAAGTATTTGCTGGGTTTCCTTCGTACACAGCTCTCCACTTCCGTTACAGTGTTTCTTGTCTTTGGACCCAAGGTACGTCCCTGCGTAATGCTGAGTTTTCGGTTCTTGATCATCATAATTTTGTTAATTAATTTAAAGGAGAACGCCACTGTGACGGGTAAAAGAAATTGTCAATTTTTTGGAATTCTTTTAGAGGTATAACTTATTATTTAAGGATTGGGTAAAGGATACTTTATTGAGTATACACGGTGTTTCACCGAAAGTGGCACACTTTGATTATTTACGTTACTAACGAAGATACGGGGAAAACTTTCAGACAAAATGTGTATGGTTTCAAGGGGATCGATTCTTCATCCGAATAATTTTTAAAAATAATCATTCGACTTCGAGATACAGCACGTTACAAGTTTTTTTTTTTTTAATGAAACATCATTTTCTGTTCATAAGAAAATGTATCTTGTTTTTTTCTTAACGTTTTAAGACCTTTCAGACTAAAATCCATCCAGCTATTTCTAAGTTATTGAGAAGTGAATTTATTCAGTTGCGAAATTAAACGCGCGAACCCTAAATGCTCTAGTGGTGCTGCGACCAAAGATTTCAATACCAATTTTCGTTGAGAAATATCAAAAATTTATAAAGTTATAAACTTCTATGAGACGATATAAATATTCCTTTTCATCGTCCCATCGAAGTTTAGGTGAAATTTATCTGAAAATAAAAAAATAAAATTTTGTCAATATCTATATGAATATAACTATCGTTATGCGTGACCATTTTGCTCCCAAAATGGCCACTTCTGGAAAAATTTTTCATTTTTAAAAGCGTTTTTTTTTTATCTAAGTGGTCCTAAAAATGAGTAATTTCCAAATTTTAAAAATCGGCCACGCACAGACTTAGTCACTGCGATTACGAAAATTAAAAGAAAAATTTTTTAAATCAGTACATCAGTTTTCGAGTATTCGTTGAGACATGGCCGAAAAAAGTTGTTTCGAGAAAAAAGCGTTTAAAGTTTTGGTTGCGTTTTTCTTCACATAAAATAAAGTTTTAACTTGAATATTGATACTTACGTTAAACTATCTATTTGGGGCCATATAACGTTTCTTCATCGGCATCTCCAGTGTCGTTCTTGGTTGTTTTCAATTTTTTATGGGTTATATTTGTGCGGTTGTTAGAGGTTTCCACTAGTTTATTGTTTCGGTCGACGCAGTACGAGTGGAGTACCGGCCCACCAATTTGATTCCCAATAACTCCATAATTTTTATTATGGCCTGTGCACCTTCGTTGAATGCTATTGTTGAAATATACAAGGCAATTTCAACAACAACAGAGTAACTGGAGTTTGATTTTGGTGCTATTTGCCACACTAATGAATTGAATCATTCATTGTTATTATGGGTGAATCCTCCATATATACAATAATTCGTATTTCGAGAGATCTTCGTATGTTGGAAATATTGCCTCAACAATATCTTCCGGAAGTGGTGATTTATTGGCAAACAACCCCAAGTTATTAATTTGTACAGTTCTACCTGCCGCGCTACCTGTTCTCACTAAATTGAATGTAACTAATTATCAGTCAATTTTCGAAATTGACTTGAAATGTTTTATTTACATATTTTTCAAATATGTATACTTAAAAAATATGCAAAAAAAATTCCAATTTTTTGACCCGTCAAAGTGGTGTTCCCCTCAATGATACAAATTTATGTTTTCCGATTTTGATTAATTTAACCTTAAAAAAATGTCTCAAGGTCATCCGTGTACTGAAAGGTCAAGGTGATCAGTGGGACAGTCGTGCGAGAGCTCGAGGAATCACGGCAAGTTTTTCATTAAACGGTATAGGTTTGGTACCAGAAGAGACTACCGACTTCTATCAGGAAAATGAAGAGTTAAAGGTATTGCAAATTTGGTTTAATACTATGTTTCTTCAAAATAAGAATGATAAAAATAATTTTTTTTTTATTCAGGAGGAAATTCAAAAGCTTGCCGCCCAAATAGAGTTCATGAAAATCGTTCACATGGAAATGCACAATAGACATATAAAACCAAAAATGGGTGGTTACTTCAGTACTCATGGTCATGGATATAGTCATCCGTCAGCAGCCCAAAGTCCAATAGCCAAGGGTTCGACAGCGAGTTTCATTTTGAAAAGCGCGGTGGAACGTGGCGCCACTGCCGCGGCGGCGGCGGCCGTCGAAGACTCGACGTTTCCATCTGGAAGTTTGCATCGCGCACGAAGAATGGAATTTCGGGAACGAAAAGCAGAAAGGGAAAAGGAACGTGAGCGCGAACGCGAACGTGAGAATCAAAGTCAAAATCAAAATCAGGAGCGTACTCAAGCAACCGGGGAAAGAGTTTGACTAGTAGTCAATAGTGAGGAGGTAAGAAACAATTTTTTCAAGAATTACTCACGACTCGAATATATCCGTATATACAATATTTCTGTTTAATAAATTCTACAACATCATCTTCCAGATATGGTTGTGACGAAGACAGGGTCGACAGTGTGAGGTCAAGAATGATATAATAAAAAAGTCTCGAAGTCGCTGCCCGAGTAATAACCTATTGAAGAAATGGAAAAAACGTAAAAATGAAAAAGCTACAAGAAAATTTCCATTGACGGACACGAGACTGCCGGTTTATGTGTAAAAATGGTTTCTATCGAAATGTGCGCGCCACGTGTGCTCTCATTATTCCATATTAAGGGGTAGCCATACTGTGTCTGTGTTTCAATGGCGCGCGCATATATGGTATTGCGCATGCGTGTTAGGTTACCTCTGTCTTCGTAGCAGTTATACAATTAGATACGAATAAGAAGGAGCATTCGAAGTATGCTTGATTACAGCTTATTAGATAAGCGTCCGGCTGAATCGGGTCTCTGTATAAAATTTGCTAAAGACCTATGATTTTATCAGGGATACAATGACGTCGCGACGCTCGATTCTGTTGCTGGCTGTACAACCGTAACTTTTCACTATTGATACTATATCTTACGTTGGACGTTTGTTTCCTGAATGGTTTTTGCTTTTTTTTGGGAGTGAGAGGTATAGCTATTGAAAAAAAGGAAAAAGTTAAAAACATAAAAGATGAATGTTAGAAAAGAACAGAAAATCGGTAACAAAAAAATATGAAAAATAAATTTTAATACGTTCCGTGCCACGTGTGTACCACCGAAGGTACACGCTAAACTTACCATTCAGGCCGCATGTACCACTGTTGGTACTCGCTGACGTATTTATTTAATGCACTAAAAACTTTGTTATTTGATTCACTTTGTTAAAGCAAGGAATGCATAAGAAGGGCTTGTTCGGACAATCGCTGTAAAACGTCACGACTGTTATAGTTGTTTTGTCTTTCTAATTTTTTCTACTACTTTTCCTCGTTTTTACTCAACAAATTTGAACACGGCAGGTACTTTTTACTATCCGAGAAGTCAAAACTGATTGCAGCGCCACGTGTACCACGGATGGTACACGATGTGAAAACTGCTCTATGCAAGCCAATTATTTACTGATTGATGATTTAAAACATCAAATGGCCTGAGTGATAGGTCGAACAAAAAACGACTCGGCACGGACCGTGTTAATGAGGATGCTGCAAATTCTCTAAATTATCTACAGAAACTACCCATCAGTGTTGACAATATGCGTAATCTATATGTTCAATAAGGACGTGGGTCGTTGGATTTTTTATTGGTACATAATATAATACATACACGTAAAACTTTTCGAATTTGGAAATCGCCACCGTCCTTAATTATTAAATTTTAAAAAGAATGGTTAAAAATTATTAATAATATCTATAGATAGGGTTCGTGGCGGGTTCCATGTTCAACATTTACCTTAAGACGTTGAGATTCGTTTGCTGGTTGAAATACGTAGTGGCAGTGACACGTGTCATTGCAGTGTTGTGATATTTTTCATTCTGTCACATGTCAAAATCTCTGCGGGAGATGCACGTGCCGTGGCACGTGTTACCGGACGATAATAAATACTGAGAATATCGGAAAAAAAGAGTGGTATTTAGGGATAAAGAAACAGTTTCTGTAAGAAAATCACGAAAACCATACAAATCGTTGTAACTTACTATATGGGCGTTAAAATGATGGTATATAGATATACTATTACAGGGTCATTCGGTACAAGCGTATCGACTGAAGTTGGCTTTATCATAGGAATCAAATGGACAGGCTAACTTCAGTTAATACAAAGTTAATATGCAATGTTTCTGAATAACCCTGTATATATATATATATATAATAGAAATAAATATTATATATTAAGAAGAGAAAAAGAAAAAAGAAAGAGAGTGTGAAATATGTTACGTTAATAGCGACGCCTTTACGTGAAGAAAAGTTTAAAAAAAATGGGTGTCGTTATACACAATTATTATGCTATACGACTATACGAATATCTATAGTCGCGTTATGCTAAGTCTCGCTGTTTATGTCTAAAATATGTATTGTATCATTGTTATTGGGATATGTGGTTTCGATTGATGTAAGTAGAACGATGGGTAAGCGAGATAAGATTATAATTAGTCCATCAATGTCCGGGACATCCTGTGATCCGTAATTCTGGATCATTATGGATTCATCAGTACTCCCGTATCAGGTGATTATGAATAATGAGAAATCGTTGATTATAAAATAAGTGCGAATCAATGATAACTAGAGAAAGCGTAAAGTCGAAAAAAAAAAAACTGAACAAATTTCAGCTTCGAAATCTATATCGATTTGAAATTGATAAGAAATTATCAATTTTAACAGTGCGAGGTGGAAAGAAAAACGAGTTTCAAAATGATCGTCGCTGGAAATGAAAATCGTATGTGGCGATTATTTGACTGTTATTCCTTAGTCAATTAAGCAAATCAATACTAACAATACTAGACGTATATTAATGTAATATTAATCGTTGTGCTAATTAAATAGAGTCTAGGCATTAGCGAAATGGAGTCATATGTAACGTAAAGCTTGTGCCTCATCCTCTGAAGGAGGATGACGTACAAGAATTAAAAAAAAATAATTAATGATCGCGAGGAGCAACGGGCAGTTTTTTTTTGAAAATGAGCCCCAAACTTTTCTTTCTCTTTTTAGTATTTTTCTCCTGAAACTCATTTTCGTCAACCGTCTCGTTGACCAGAATGATTTTCAAAGCTGTCCGATGGTTCCTCGATTTATTGGTGTTCACGTATATGAGGTAATTAATTATAATTATAATATATTCATATAGTAATTAGTACGCGTACCAACATACTAACAGTATCGCAGTCGCGCATAGTTGGTGACGTATTAACGTCTTTGTCGGATTATAATAATTGCATAGTAATTATTATGATATAGATGCAAATTAATAATAATGATTCCTGCATATAGTGGAGTCAATGGCTAATTAATAACTATGCCAGAATCGAGAGGGGATACGCAATCAAAAATTGTCACGACGACGTTCAATCCTAGCGCCGAAATTACGAGACACGTTCAAATTTCCACTCGCAATGAAGTTACGTCATAATGAAAATAATTTTTTGTATCCTTTTCGAATTTTTTGAAAATTATATAAGGGTGTTCCGTAACGCTGAATGCACCATGCCGATAGTACGCGTAGCACGTAGGTGTTAAGAAATTTGTGATATTTTTTTCGAATTTCTTTTTTTTCGAAAATCAAACTTTTCGCCCAAAAATTAAATAATATATATACATATATACGATGGAAGAATATTTGTAACGATATACTTGTATGTCAATATACGTGCCATTACACAGAGTGCAAAATTGCGTGTTGTTTTTTTTTTGAAAATAATCCCTTCGTTCTTCTCCTCTGTTTCAGGTATACAAAGCGAGTCATTTTGTTTTAAGAATTTATTTACACATACTACACAATATACAAATACGATATGAAAATCGGCATCGTTGCCAATCTCGGGATTGCACGTAAATCATAGTTTGATCGGTATTGAAGATATTCAATTCGTGTCTTATTAATAAGATAAGTTCGTTATGACTAAAAAAGATTGCACGTTACGTTAAAGTATTAATGAATGACACGGTCGAGAATATACCGCGACGAACGATAAAACAACAATAATTCAACAAACAAAACTCAGTTTTGTACAACAATAACGAACTTAAGCGTTAAGTCGAACAGCCGACCGTTAACTAAGAGAATAAGTAATTTCTTTTTCTTGCGAATAATTAAGGCCGAATTCGTAACGATCTCGCGGAGCCGTATCCAGGCGAATTAACCAATCGCACGTAACTGCAAAACTCAATATACTATATGCATAAAGTCTCGTTCCAGAAGACAATTCGCCGTATCAGAAATAATTCACGCGCGCTCCATCCAAACACATACGTCATTCTCATAGATTACACATGCCCTCAAATAGTCGTTTTTAGCTTTACTTTTTTTGATCAATCCCCAGTATGGTAGCGCTTGGACATTTGTACTTGACGTATTACAATCGCGTATGACAAAATATCCGAAACTATTTCTTCATTATTTTCTTAAGCTCTGCTCACTCGAGCCGAGCCTGTACAGTCTTAGCTAGAACATAACATTGGTCGAGTTGTCTTTTTCATATCTTTCTTCATTATTTTCTTTCAACTATTTTTACCCCGTCGCTCGATTAATAATATACGAATAGTGGTGTCTACTCGATCGGATAATATTTTATAGTGTCCATATGTAATTCAAATTCTTAGGTAAAAGCATCCCCCATTTTTTTTTCATCGGTATCCCTTGCACCATTGTCTTTGTCTTTAGTAACATAGAGACGCACTTCCTGTTTGGTCTACACTTCCGCAGAGGGATAATCCAACGTAAAATTAAAAATCCAAGTAATTTTGACGTATAGAAAAATATTTTCACAGGGAGGAAATACCCACGAATGTACCGCCATCACTTTTTGCCATTATCTAAATAATATCCTGACCGTTTTCCACTTGGCAGCCATAGTTATCCGTATTTCTGAACATCATAGAATCATCTTCATCCTGCTCCTGCTCCTGTTCAGGATCCGGCGAGTCCGTTGCCGTATCCTTCTTGCACGGTGAATCAGATGGGTGCGACTTGTTCAGCAGAGAGCTAAATTCACCAAACTTCAGTATCTCCTCCATTGCCGATTGCTCCAGGGAAACCTCAAACGATCAATGGCCACTCCTGCTTAATCTTACGAGTCTAGTTCCCTAATTTTCAGCTATCCTACGAGACTTACCTTTCGGGGTCTGCCCCGTTTTCCTTTGCCAGTCCCGGTTGCTACCGAATGTCCGCTACCGATATTCGACAAGGCCCTTCTCTTGGGCCATTGAAGATGAGAGTCCAGATGCTGCTTCAGTTTGTCTTGCCTGGCGAACATACGTGGACACAACGTGCAGGCAAATGGTCGCTCGCCAGTGTGAACTCGCCTGTGCCTTGCCAAGTGCGATGCTCTTGTAAATGCGAGAGTGCAAAGGTCACAGGAGAATGGTTTGTATAGAGACTTGTCAGTCTGAGAAAACGTCCTTGTCTCTTTGGTAGACTCAGAACCGGTACAAGTGCCGGAATTGATAGCCTTTTTGATACCATCAGACTTTCTTTTGGTACCGGAAGCTCTTACTGGTTCACTGGCTGGACAGCTTGGTGAATCCTGTGACAGATTAATTAAAATTAATATTTTTTTTTTAAGGAAAGATGTCCTCATTGTTTTTCTTTTGACTTGATTCGGTGACCGAACTTACGAACAGGTTTTTTTTTTGTAATGTCAGACAAAAAAAAGGAATAAATAAATTTCCAAAATTATACCAAGCTTTCTCGCTCCTGTTCGAATATATCCTCTCTCAATTGTATCGCTGGTACTGTTGGATCGATATTGCTGCTGTATATCGGTTCTTGCTTGAGTGTGCTCACCGAGATCGAATCCTCGAAGGATTCTGGGCGGTTTGTATCCCTTAAGGAAGTGCGATCCCTAGACTTGGTCTCGGTATCATTTGATTTCGATGATCTACCCACGGAAACGCGTTTCTGTCCTTTGAATCTGGTCTCACGCGTGAACATCGGCGGTGGTATATGTCTCTGTCAAAAAATTATTTTTACGATAAACGTTAATTTTACTTTACAGAGATTTTATAAATACTTACAATTTGTTCTTCGGACGGTGGTAGGGGGGTTTCAAAATTATCCTCATGACCTTCGACGACCATTGGATCATCCTCTACCTCTATTTCTTCTACCTTCACCTGATGCTCTATAGATCCAGATAAAATTTGCTTCGATAAATATGGATCGTTCGTTGAAACTTTTCTACTGTATTCCGTTTTGTGAACTCGAGTTTCTATGTGGCATCTTGGCGATCTGTTGTCTACCCTCGTGTGAGGGTGGTTGGTATCGTTTCTATGGTCGAGCGATGCGGATAAACCGCGAATCTCTAGATCCGTAGCGGTTTTTATAAGGGATGGTAAGTGCTCTTCTGCCACGTCTATCGAACCCCTATACATGAAGTCCAGAAGGCATTCCATCTCTTCTACGGCCACTCCTAAGAGTTGTAAGGTATAATTAGAATAACTTTGGTCTGAATTCAGTATACCATTTATCAAAATACCAATGCGAACCTTTCAATATAAGTATTGGCTGTTCGCCATAGTGCTCCTTGAAGACTCTCTCGAAATAAGGGCTGCAAGCAGCCAGGACCAGTCTGTGCGCTCTTAACATACCACCCTGACAAGCCAGGGTGGTATCGGTAAGAGAACCACTTTTGTACAGACCCTCAAAAAGTCCCGAGAGGTTAGCCAGATGATTGTTCCAGGTGAGATTGAAAGTTTTTTCTCCCATTCTTAATTCTTGTATTAGACTCTGAAATGAAAAAGATTTCTAATCAGTCCAGGAATGCAAAAGCAAAATAATATGTTACTGTAGTTGTACGATTTATTCTTCTATCATAATAACCTGATACATTTCAACGAGTCAAGAAACAAATGGCGTTTGTGTATGACGTCCGACAAAAAATTGACTACCGATGTCCTTGCGCAGGTCGTAGTTAATTATCAGGAATTTTGAAAAACACATAATACCTAACCAAAATTTGTATCGTAACAATGATTCAAGTTCTTGTTAAATTAATAAATCCTCTTTTCGAGATACGAACTTGATAACGCATACAATACGTATACGCACATAGGGACGTAAGTGTCTGTTTGTAAACTCAAACGGGGGTGGCCATGGAACTATAAGGGGATGAAGTGTGGCTCAGGGAACCAGGGACCACATAGTCATGCGCAGAGAAAGGTTTTGTGCCCGATCCATAATTTGTTGGTGGCCCCCATGCAACGTCCATAGCCCCCAACCAAGACTGCGTATATAATTTTCATGGTAAAATTTACCATTTTCTTTTAAAGGCGTACATAACCTGGTTAAACGAAAAAATCCCTAAACCCGTTAGTAAACACCAGAACTCTCTAACTCCGTATTGTCTCTTGGACGCGTTTCAAAGTAGTCTAATTTAACCTATCGGCTGTCTATTTTTTAAAATATTACTAACCCAACCCCAAAGCCAGTAGGAAGCCAATGGGAAGTCTATCGTCCCCCGAAATACAAAGCGAAATCAATAACAGTACGTAGAACGGCACGCGGAGAAAACTTACATAATCCACGCCTAACGGAATGCGTTTACACGCGAGAAACATTCCATTTTCTGAGACTATATATAGTAGCAGCAGTTTGCCTTCTCGTAAGTATACACCCGGAGCGCACTGTATGCGATTAAAGTTCGGGCTTGAAAAGTCTGGGCTAAACTACTTATGAAGCATTTTCATGAACCGCAACGAAACAACAGTGCGTTAGCTTCAACGGAGTATAGACAGTGAACCCAGTGCTAATATCCAACATTCATGGAGGAGCGTATCTTGCGAATATGTTTTGCGTGTGATTCTAATAATAAGGACTGTGACTCGTGTGACTAAGAAGCCGAGAATCTAATATCCCACGCTGTATTATGATCCAATGTATCCCTCTAACTAGATAGATAATCAATGCTGCGTCTTCCTTACTCTGGGCATAGTGAGACCGTGTATGCATTACCCTCACTAGGTGTCTATTAATACGTCCCTGTGGCACCGGACAAAATTAGGCGAACTTTCCACGCGTCATATACTGTGCACGTGTAGAAATTTATATATTGGATTATGTATACGTTCTATATATTTAACTAGCAGTGAGATAGAGAGAGAGAGAGAGAGAGAGGGAACGAGAGAGACAGTGAAAGAACGAGGACCTACCTGTGATATCCAGGAACACGAAGACACAGTGTACCGACAGAGTATGAATAATGATTACTAAGATAACGATTTCACTTATGTTATTATCGAGAATATAATTTTAACCTTCAATGAAATATCCACCCGTTATAGGTTATGAGAACATCCGTGAAAGGACACCCGCACCAAGTGGCTGGCGTTTTAGCCTCGTAGAAGTCGTGGCCGTCGTTGTCGTCGTCGTCGAGGAAAGTAAAAGCGCGAGGGGCACGTAGTGGCTCCCTCGCCAAGTCGCGACTGATATCACTGGGGGACTGGGTACTGGGGTCTGGGTTGTGGGGTCTGGGGGCCGCGGGAGAGGCTACGAAGCGACGAGCGAGCCCCACGGGGGGGCGGCAACCCCACACGCTGAGTCGAACTCAGCTCTCAGCTCAGTTCCGAACCCTGCGAGCTTCCAGGCTTAGTATTATAGAAGAGCTGGAGTATGTTATAGGCATAGAACGAGGGTGTAGCGACGCAGGGAACGAGAACGCACCAATACTGTACGCACTTTGCGCCCTATACGATTTTACCAGCGTCCCCAGTTTGATACGGCCCTGGTTTTGCTGTTACCCTTCGCCACGCTCGCCGCCTCGCCCTTCTTTGCCCTCCTTACTCCTCCGGAGTCGAGGCCCTCCTGATCCCTCTTGGCACCCCTCATCTTTATACTGCTACTACTACTGCTGGATGCTTTGCTTCTCTCAAACACACCCTTATTCGTCACCCCTTTACATCCCTGTGCCAGTTTAGATACCGTCGCTGTACACGGACTGGGGTTCATTTTATTTATGTTCAAATTTCTGATCATTTTTTTATCCTGTCAATTCTTCTTCGTGCTAGTTGAACGCTTTTGGTTCTTGTGCTCAGATTGATGGGTTGTGAGGTAGCGCGATTTGTATTTTGGTTCATTTATGGTGCAGGTGTTGTCTTTCGTTCTGGAGGTTTTTTAAATGTTTTTTGGAGATTTTTGGAAACTTTACTGAACTTGGTTTAAGCGGTGATGTAAGATATGGTTTATGCAGGTGTTGACATTTTACTGTCTACATAGATTAGTCTAAACTGGTCCTTGCCTGAAGATGTCTTAGGCTGTTGAAAACTTGAATTTCCTTCAAGGATGTTGTAATGCTTCCAAGATCGTTATGTGACTTTCTGATGTTGGGACACGTGTCGCGCGGCATTAACGTTCTTGACAGTTTAGGAACCTGCAGTAACGATACTCGACATTTTGTATTTTCTTTTGGGCATCAAGAGAGTTCCTGGATATTCATCGTTGTTGCGCAGAATGAATCTCGTGGACGTTCGGTCATCGTTGACCGCAGGCTCGATTTAGGGGCCAGTGGGCGAATATCGATTCGTTATTTTTAGGGGTAGTCAACATCAGCCCCTGTCGGAGTGCATTGGCCAGAACGCTCTAAAAGCATGGTAACGTCATCATTGACGCACTAGATAATTTATTCTTTCATTTAACATGTATCGGTCTCGCCGTTTACCTATAAGTCTTGGTAAAACGATATTGATCAAAAATTAAAATTAGAAAAGGGGCGGAAAATAAATACGTAAGTATAAAATGAATGTACCAAAAATTGAATTTTGTTCAGTCTTTATTGTAAAATATTTATTGGGCTTACACGTAACAGGTATTATATAAATACAATGTGAGATTGAGTACATACAATAGGTTAGCCTGTACCCCATGACAACAGTTTTTTTAAAAATAGTTTACTGTATCTTATTTATATAATCATTGATCGAGACAATCTTTAACCATCTTTACGAAATCACGGCGGTTCAGGAATGTCGTTTGGAAAATTGTTATCTCATCCGCTACAACTTCTTGAAGGTCCACGCCTGAAGGCAATGACCGATTTTCTGTACGGGCTCATTAAATACCTATTAGCTTCAAAAATGTTTTGACTAGATTTGTCTATGTATAGAAGAGAATTGGAATTTACAATCACGATAACAATAAGTTTATCGAAACATGTCGGTAAGAACGATTGAATACCATCTACGTCAATAAAGTTCAATGACTGAATTCTGTCAATGTAAATTCAATGAGTAACTATGAAGTTACTTTGTCAATGGATTCTTTCCCATAACTTATCGTGGAACAGTCTGAAGTTCCCGCTTCAGATCAAAGAACATCTACGAGTAATATAGTGTGCCTTGTCAAAAGGGTACACTTTATCATAGGATTTATTGATAAAGCAAAATTGGAATAGTTTGGTGGATGGTAAAGGAAATAAATCCAAATATAAGGAATTGTGAAAGAAAAAGATTTCACCGTCACCTGATAAGATTTCATCTTTTGTCGGTAAAATGGTGGTTCGGGTAACCGACGGTAGATGCTCGCGTGCCTCCAAACTTCTCAAACGAACTTCCATTACGCCGCAAGCTTTCCTAGAGTTCGCAACTTTTGTACTGTACACATTTATCCATTGCCAAGTAATGAGCTAAATGATATCATCATTCAGGACCAATTGTAACCGTCGTTAGAAAATTTCAAACTTTCAAGATTTTGTATACGTTTTGGATCTGGATGACAAAAATGTGATAACAATTCTTCGCTGAAGCCGCAATCACTGAGATTTTCCTGGCCAAATACACTTTGCTGCATTTTCTCGGCATCTTTTAATTCTGATTGTTCGCCTAATAAATATAAAAATGAAATTTAAAAGTTGTCTATCTCAATGAATATTTGAAATAGCTGTTACTAACCGTTCCCATGATTAGCCAATGAAAAGGACGTTGTCGCATTCAATTGGGCACAGCTAACAGAGAACTGCTCTAATTGACTAGATTTCATCATGTAACATAATGACGGTAGTACGTGCGGGAGTAAAGGTCCTCGTAATTCTATGGAATGAAATGTATCCTTTTCTACTCGTACGATGCTCTCTTTTACCTGTAAAAGAATGTAAGATACGCGTAACGCTATTTTATAAGTATTACAAATAAACAGATTATACCTTTAATGACTTTAGCGTAGCACCATGAAATGCAACTGGTGATAAAAGTGTTGGAGGTACGCCAGCCAGGGCACCAGTGGTAGCAGTTGCAGATTTGCAATTAATTAAGAAATTAAACAGTGCCTGAGCTTCGACACCTTGTACAAATATTAAGGATTGTTTTAAGTTGTCCACTTCAGTTTCTTTTTCCAGGGCCATTCGAGCCTGAAAGACATAAAGAAGTAGCCACATTTAATTTATGTAAGTGATGAATTGAATGTTGATGAAAAGAGAAAGATGATAGCGAGTTGGCACCTGCGAAGAATTAATTTTACGAATCTCAGAATCCTCTACTCCTAAGCTCTGCAACCATTTTTCTTCAGGCTCATCTTCATCCTCATCTTCTTTCACGGAAAGAGTTGTAGATTTAAAGGAATCCAAAGTCTCGCATCCTGAATCTGTGACGTCAGATCGTCTCTTATTGTCTTTTGTTAAGGGCATTGTGAATTCGATATCTGCAACAAAACGTGAGATTGCACTGACATTTTTCATATTTTATGGAATACAGAATAAATTTTTGTATTTTTTTAGTAGGTTTTACCTTCCTGCTTTAAGGATTGTCGAAAACCCCTTGTTGTGGGCGTCAATAAAGCATGAATTTCGGACGAGCCACAAATTCCAGCTGCTCGAAAAAGTGTAGTGAAAGTATTGGTGCAGACGTAGAAATATGGACATTGTCTTGCTCGTAAGAGATGGAAAAGAGAACGAAAACTCTCACTCCACTCTCTATAGAGTGCATCCTTGATGATTTGACTATTAGCTATAACGGAATTGCTCGCGAGACTCGCACTTACTTTCCCTGCAGTACGAGGGAACAGTTCCAGCCATGGTAAGGATGGGTGCTGCCACACTAGACAGCATTGATGAAACCTGTATAAATGGAATTTATATGTGTACTTTGATCAAAAAATGAATACCATACATTCAGGGAACTGTACTAATTGTGCTATTGAGTGGTAGTGGTACTTATTTTAAGTTTTAGATAAACAGTACACAGAAATAGTAAAATTATAAACCTTGCATTTGGCGTTGTGTCCAACGTTGTTTCTTTTTCTCCAATATTTAAACAGCGTACAAATCCTGTAGTGCCTGATGCCTCTTCGCTAGTTTTTAACTTGCCATTCCATGGAAATGGTTTGGGAGACATGAAACGCATTTTTGTGTTTAATGTCCAGTCTATAGGTATATATTGCTCCACTTTAGGTACTTCTGGTTCAATTACTTCCTTGTTTTCTAGTTTAGTTAAAATACTTGCAAAGGAAAGACTTGAGTTATTGGGGACTAAAGGTTTCTCATTTTCTGGTCTTTTTAATCTTAGTAACTCGAATAATACTGAGTCACCACTTGTTTCTAGTTCTGGCAGTTCCACCTCTTTAGGCTTTTTGTTTGGATCGTATTTGGCAAAAGGATTTTTTCTTTTTTGTGATATTGAAGTACCATTTAAAGAAGAAGAGTTTCCAAAAGGATTAGAACTTGATGAGGATGCGTTTCCTATACTGGTTTTGTTTATACGAGCTTGCAAAGCACGTTTCTTCATCTTCAATCGATGCAACTGCATCACTTGCTCCGGTCGCTTCCATTCTGATGTTTTTGGTTGTACTGGATCTTCCATTAGTGGTTCTAATATAAATTTTGTCATGCTGTAACAGAAAAATACAATAATCTATTTAAAAAAAAACCTATGATATTAACTGATAATCAAATATTACAAATTTCATCAATTATTTTTTGAAAAATAAATCTTCTATATCTTCTACCATTCTAAACTGAACATTCTAATATTCAAACATCTAAAAATTTCCAATAATTTAATTCATTATGAATCTAAACTTATACTTTAAAGCTATAGAATTTCAAGATATCAATTCAAATATTATTGTGCAGTTGAGGTTACGATCAGAAATACGCAGATGTTTCCAATTTCTTCACAGAAAATGGGAATTACCATTTAAGAGATCTATATACACTAAACTCGTATTAACACTTAACTGACTAAAAATCGGTACACTAAAAAATATAAAAGAAACAGCAGTAGCCCGCTAAAGTGAAGACCAACGGACATGAGTAAGGATGCACAAGTATACGGACTCGATTCAATATTTCCAGGGCCGTATGAATCGGAGTACTATGGCCCCATGAATCGGAGTACTATGGCCCCAGATCTATAAAAACTTTTCTCAGTAAAAAAATCAGTTGTAATCAAAGTTTGGAAATGTCTAATAATGCAAACAAATAGTATATGTACAATTTATCATTGAAGATTTGTTCCGTTACAAATCTTCTATGCTTGCAGCGTCTACCTAGGGATCATAAAGCATCTAGGTAAAACACGTCGCAACCGATACTGTTCTCTGTCTCTGATTCGAAGTAAATAATAAATTACATACTTTTTTGGTACTTCTCAGGGCCGGGTAATAAATATGATGTCAAGTTCGCTGAGAAGCTAGCTTAGTCGCTTTTCTTCCAGAAGAGTGAGTCGCACCCTAGCGCGCGATGCTTCACTTTGAGCAGAGCGCCCTTACATAGATATATAAAACCACCAACGAGAACCTCCACATAACCGAAGCCCCGTTTCTAATATCTAACGCATGCATTATGCATTGAATGACCCTGTATCTTGTCTGTTTGACCAGGTCCTGTTGGCGAAAAATATTTTTTGCATTATACAACAAGAAATAGAAGAAGAAGCAAAACGACCCTATATTATCACGAAGCGGAAAGCCCGTGCGTACAATACACTATACTGTAGAAGGTACGATCTACAGACACATAAACAATTATTTTAATTATCAGCAAGGGATTGTTAAATCGAAAAGTTATACGAGTCGCTGAGGCGTGGGAAAATTTGCTTCCCATGTACAGACTATCGCATAAATATTAGGGCGCTATAGTATTTTTTCCATTGATTGCTTTATATCTTACATAATTATAGACGAGAACGAGTAAATTATTTTGTGTCATGTTGCATCATTATCATCGGGTTAACCAACGACGTATTGATTTAATATTTATTATTATAAAATACATATCTACTACCACTTCATTTGTGCAAAATATCCAAATATTTGCGTACTCGACCCGGACGTAATTACGTAAGATGTAAAGCAATCAGTTCAAAAATATCACAGTGTCAGAATATTTACGCCATTGACTGTATCTCCTTCTCCTTCGCTCTAATGTTGTCTTCTCTCCTGTATTCGTCAGGTGCTTTTTTCACGACCAAATTTTCTGGAACGACGAGCTTGTTTTTCGAGGTAACGTGGCGTTTGTTTTCTCTGGTCGACCGCCGTAACAGAATGCTTATGTTGCTCCAGGCCCGAGGGCCACAACGGCTTTTATGCTACACTCACCTATCACAGCACTGCGATACCTATAAGGATACTGGATCGAAGAGAGAGAAAGTGCAAATACGAGAAAGAGAGAGGGATGAAGAAAGAAGGAGAAAACGTCGGAAAGAGAGTATACCCGCCACTAGTCACTGATGGAATACGTATGCATTCGTGTGTATGACGTACAGGTCCTCTCTGGGTTTCTATAAAGCCAGAGCTTGTGGGAAGAGCCGCCTGTTGCGCTCATTCATGCGTAATTGCAAAAATACCGAATTTCGATGTGCACCGACGACGGCTGAAAATTAACGCGCTATAAGAAAAATAGGGTGAAGTCCATCCGTGCGGATTCCTCTGGCCCAAAGGTAAATTCAAAAAGTGCCGCTTACGTAATGCACATTGGTTTTTTAAAAAAAGAATTTCATTTGTTTATTTTAATCTTTCTTTTTTCCATTATAATTTTTTATTTCATAGAAACACATCACTGGACTCTCGTTTCTTATCTGGCTACATCAACGTTGAGAATTATACGAGTGTAATTCAGGGCGCCTGTCGTACCGCAATCAGTTTTACTTGGACGTAATACGTCACAGAGCGTAAATGATAAGGGGCCAGGGCGACCCCTGTGTTACGTGCCCCGCTAAACAACGTGCCACAACTCCTGGCCCACATGCGAGCGTTTATGCGTCATTTATGGTATTTACATCATGTCCGATTAGCATAGCCATGCTGCGATTAGCATTAACGTATACGCGAATTGGTAATAAAGCGTCGAAACGTTTTCTGAGTTACGAGCCAATTCCATCGTATGTTCCAATCACGTGTCGTTAATGGCAATTCAATTGCTGAGGAAGTTATGGACCACCTTGATGGACGAACATTTCTCTGTAGTTTAGTCATTTTATGTATTAGCCTTTTATAATACGATGTCTTATATACTGCGTCAATTTAGCATACGTCTACCCGTCCGATTAACGAGCATTTATTTATTAGCGTCCATGCTGGTCTGTGTTAACGTATGCAGCATACAGCATACGAGTACAGCATACTTCGTCCTTAGGAAGATCCACTGCGAAAGATCAGCTTTTATTTATCGGCTTCACTCGTGGCTAAACTACTTTCAGCGACAAATAAATATGTTAATGACATTTAGGAAACTTCAAATGCCATGCATCTTCGCCTTTACACTGGGCAGGAAGAACAAAGTTTAGCTAACTTTTCCAGCGGGCCGTCCCTCGCCCCAGCGGCTGCTGGGGGGATAACTTAGAGAGATAAAGAGAGGGGGAGGGCGAGGACGATATAAAGAGTCAGTTGAATGAGTGAGCGTCAGAGAGTGGAACCGGAGTGTGAAGAAGAGAATTCTCTTAAATAATATAAAATTCAGAGGAAGTTGATAAGCCGCGGCGCGTTCAAACTTTTCACTCGCAGCTTCCATTTCTTATTATAATGAATGCATATCGGCTTAGCCTGGAACTGGAACTGGAACCGCGTATAGCTGGAACCCTTTTCGGTTCTGAACAGTCTGTACGACCCTACGGGATTTAGGCAAAAAAGCTTCTATCCCAACAGTACTTACGCTTTCTTCGGCTTAACTGGCGAAAAGGACGCCAGGCGTCTTTCCACGTTTCTCAGGTCTTCCCTGTACTTACTGATACCTCCATACACAGGAATTTCTTATTTTCATATAGGGTAAGCAGACCATCCCCCAAAATAGTCAGACACGTCCAACCTGATTAACCTTTTTAATTATGATTTTTCAAAATCATACTGCATAAATGTACTCGTGGGTATTTTATTTTTGATTTGAATAATTATATGCTCTTACTAAAATCTAATTTCTCTTGCATTTGAAAATCATGTTCATACTTTCTATTTTCCGGTAGGCAAAGATGGCAAGTACCGATAAGAACAACCGGAACTCTTTCATCCGATGAACACAACACTGGCCACGCAGGCTGAGGGTGTGCGCACGCGAAAGGGGTTGAAATTCCAAGAGGGAAAGAAAGGGCGAAAGTGAGCGTGTAATGTAGGCTGCTGCGACATTTCTAATATCGGCGTCGCGACGCTGCCCTCCCTCTGGGCTCTCGTAACACGCACCATCCGTAGCCTTGTCCCTGTCTTCTATCCAGGGGACGTCTTCGTGGCGCCCTGTATAGCCTATATACTATACCTATACCCTGTACCCAGGCTATACCGTCCTTGTAAGGGATGATGGTAGTAGTGACGCCGGTGGTAGATTCGAGCCGTCGCGGTCTTCGAGGGTGGAGAATGGATGTCACGGCCAGATTGCGCACGTCAAGCCACATGCCGCCATTCCGTGGTTTGATTTAACGTGGAACATACCACGAGAACGACACAGACATTTCTGACGGACAAATGGAAGCGCCGCCTCTGGTCTCACGGCTTCTTCCCCAATTATTAGGGTTTTCTCACCCTTTATGGAAATGCCCGAGTTAACCAACTCACGGAAACTTCATACCGAGGGTGTTGCCGGTTTGATCGCCAAACGATGCCCGCGGAGGATAATTAGAAGGGACGGATAAGGAACGCGGAAGAGAGGAGAAAAGTGAAGAAAATAGCCATGAGGGATTTTTTTTTCTTTCAAAAGATAAAAAAATTGGTGCATGTAAGATTGATTAGCTGTTTGTGGTACTTTACCCTAAGAATCTTTCTCTCTCTCTCCCTCTCTCTCTCTCTCTCTCTCACGTAGAATTATTCTGAAAAGTTCTCTCGCGTGCGCCTAAAAACCGATACATCAACCCTCGAGGCTTTATTAATAGAGGGGAAATTAAAAGCCGAAAGACAAATGGCCCCGGTGCCGTTAAATCATCGCGAAAAACTTAGTAATTTAATAAGCAATTTCATGTAAATTTCGTGGGCGTTACTCTGTAACGGCGCGAGACGCTCCAAGGGTTTCGGAGACGCCGCACCTTCAATTTTGAGCTGTTTACATTGAGCCACTTGGCATTCGACATTCCTCGGAATCCCAGCTGCATTTGCGAACAGTCAATGAAAGATCAGAGGCCGAATTAGATATTGCACGAATCCGTACACGTAATATCATCGTTCGCATTGTACAAATAATCATTCGACCATTGCAGTGAGTATATCTGTATATGTGATACCAGTCAAGCTTTATTATACGAAAAAGAATTCACACCCTAATCCTCATACAGAAATGTCATTGGATTTGATTTATTTTGTCTATAAGGTTATATTCGAGGGATGTTTTAGTTTGATTTTTTTTCATCCCTCTCACTTCGATCCAAACATCCCAGGCTCAACTTCCCTTTAACGTTTCTGGCAATTGCTCA